TTCTGCCCATAGACTAAAGTTGAATAAATAATTTTCATACTCGGGCAAGGAAAATCGATACCAAGCTCACAGAAAACGTGTCGTAATGGCAGAAATCAGCGGCAACGACGATCATCGTTGCAAATGCTTCGAAGAAGTTCTTGTCTTGGATCCGTCAAACGCTGTCACAGTGCAGCAGCAATAGCGACTGCCAATTCTGCCTAGCGGCTGACTTTGATCTTCTTTCGGTACCTCGTCTGAACCCGCCTGAGGACAGCTGAGTTTCCGCCTGTGTTGCAGGGCGATGGACTTCCTGAAGAACTTCGACATACAACTGGAGAAGAACGTGTACTTCGTAGGCGAGATCATCAAAGGCTATGCCACGGTCGAGAACGTCGAGAACGTGAAAGTACGAGGTAAACGTGGCCGAGTCAAAACTCTGCTCTGCTGCCCGCTTACATCTCACTGAACCGATTTAGCCATACATTTGTTGCTACGTGGCAGAGGCCATGCGGAGTGGAAGATTATGAGGAACGGCGAACGACGAACCGTCAAAGACGACCAGCACCTCCTGGAAGACAAACTTATTCTCTGGGGCAAAGGTCAGGAAACGCTTGCTTGCTAACGTTGCATTGGTGTTTGTTTTGGTGCTTTCAATGTTCTTCGAGGTTGATAAACTGCAGTTGGTACGCCGTGAAATCACCGCCATCGAAACTGATTTCTGGCAAACCAATATTCTGAGTTATTTGAGTACCATGTTTCTTCACCTTAGGCATGAGTTTTAGCCATGAGTTGCTATTTGAATCATTTCCATGGTCGGTATTTCAGCGTCAGTTTTTCAGCCGGCGACGGGAAAGAGAATCTTTTAGTTCTGTCTCTGGTTTCAGACCATTCGACTCACTTTCTAAAGTAACGAAATCGTTGAATCAATCACTTCATTAGCGAATAAGTTATATTTGCATTAATCTCGTTTACTACTGGAACGGAAAATTCAATCCGGATTAAGCATGGCAAAGTTTCATAATTTTAACGAGTTCAGAAAAAAATACGGATGTAGTCTCATCGTAATGATTATTACTGTAATAATATTCTGTTCTTTTTTGTGCCCAGATGAGGGAGGTCAAGCCGTCCTATGCGTTCTTCATTTGCAGCTAGTTAATCGTTGTTTAAGCTGGTATTGGCTTAAGGAATGAGTGATAGACCTCATTACACTTCGTTATATGGAAAAAATTGCATCGTCACTTTTTGGATTGCCGAGGAGACAATTTAATGAGGCTAAGACTCAATAGGATTTGAGTACTGGCAGTGCATC